CACCTTGACTGCTACAGTTTGTTTAACTAACGATAACCATCAGTGAATCCATCCTATGTACACCTCGGATTTGCTGCATTTCTGCAGTCCTTGCCTGCCATCGGTTACTTCTGTTAGCATAGTTTTGAAGTGTGCATTGCTCTCTGCGTTACGATTGGCAACTACTTTCAAGCCTGACATCCATCAGCAAGCATCATTCATCTGAGCGCTCTTGGTTTTTAGGCTCCTTAAATCAGCCGAATAACAAACGAGGCACAACTCTTCCAAATCGTCGTGGTTTGGGGTCACAAGTGGAAACCATTTCACACCGGTCACTGATCAATCCGTTTCGACCGGATCAGTTCTACGTTAGAATCACGGCGAACCGTCGTCGATGGATACATGTTTTCCCGGTTGACGAAATGGTAAGAAATGAATATTTTCCTGTTTCTTGAAAAAGGTGACAGTATTTCGATAGGAAACTGCTCATACGGTTCATTGGTAATTTAATAGCCCAAAAAGTCGACTTTCAAAGCAGTCACACCTTCGCCTACTGATTTTTTCAACCTCAAGTGGTTAACTGCAGATTTGGTCTACCTCCGGAACTTGGCATCGGTCTCAAATTAGTCCCTGTACTTGACTTCACGGCTGCGAGCTGCCATCTTACCATCACAGCGCCTTCGTTCTTTGCGACGGCGTTTTGAACGTTTTGAGCGCCAACGTTACCACCGTTCATCGAAACCTATACATTCTTAGTTGCTCAGAATGCTCAAGACGTTGGGTAACGCTTGAAAACGCTCATACGCTGGCGGTCGCCTATAACGCTGACGCAAAGTATGAACGCATTCTTAGCTCGATCTTGCGCACAGCTCGTTCCCCGTACAGTTGGCTGAAAGAACTTTGTTCCAGTCCTCACTAGGCTGGAGAATTGAAGGAAGTAGACTCTACGACTCGTTCTTGCTGTATAGTGCAACCTTTAAGGAGGTCACAGCAGCTCGTCTGGGGCCGTGCGAGACGGAGACTAGGCTTTTGGAGTGTTTTCCTTTTCCAATATTTTTTTTCTGCTTCTAGTTGCTCTGTTGAAATCGTCCCCAGGAATACATAAACTGGATAATTATTTCCTTACTTTTTTGTATCAAAAACCTTTAAAGCTGTCGAATAAAGTCCAAAATGTCCCACGCTCAAAACTTGACCTACTCTCTCGAGTTTTTCTTGCGCAGCAGCAAGCAAGCTTCTCAAACGTCTGGTTCCTTTGGAGTTGGATCATATTTGCAGTGGCCTTTCATGCTCTAATACTGGTTCGTTCCTACAGAAAATTTTCTTTTTCAAGGGAAGATCGAAGCTTGCTCATCACTACGTGGATGGTACAAGTACGGTTCACATCAATATGATAGATGAAGCTCCACCTGTTGGCAACGAGCTTGACAACAAACTGCGCGAGAACGGTTAGTTTGCAGTGTTGTTAAAACAAAATGTATAGCTTTATTTGGGGGAACTGAACAATTGGAATTCCGTTGAAGGGATCTTTTATGTGTACTGAGAGAACCCTGATGGGCAATGGTGTTGGAATTTCTTTTTCCTCTAGCTTTTTTTCTTGTGTTCTTCTCGCACTTCTGAGTATGATCTACCGCATGCCAGCCAGTGATGTGCCAGGGGTAGAACATCGTCACCTTTCTATACTTTGTACCTTCCCACTGACCTTTCTTCTTGGTTCTCCTGAGTGTCCCGTCTCGTGAATCGCTGAATGATCGGTATATAGTGATGATGTGAACAGTTCCTATCCATACCGTACCATTACGCTGTTGTTCAGTTTTAGCCTTGTTTAGGTGTTGTCGGCTCGCCTTCTAGGCGTAATGATCGTCCCGATTCTCCACTTATTGCGACTGGACCTCCTTCCGAGAGTACAACCAGTACTGCTACTGTCAACATGAAGGTGCTTT